GCTACATGTCTATATCTATATAGCTTTTCTACATGTCTATATTTATATAGCTTTACTACAGGTCTATATATAGCTTTGCTACATGTCTATATCTATATAGCTTTACTACAGGTCTATATCTATATAGCTTTACTACATGTCTATATCTATATAGCTTTGCTACAGGTCTATATCTATAGAGCTTTACTACAGGTCTATATCTATATAGCTTTACTACAGGTCTATATCTATATAGCTTTACTACAAGTCTATATCTATATAGCTTTACTACAGGTCTATATCTATATAGCTTTACTACAGGTCTATATCTATACAGCTTTACTACATGTCTATATCTATATATATTACTACAGGTCTATATCTATATAGCTTTACTACAAGTCTATATCTATATAGCTTTTCTACAGGTATATATCTAAATAGCTTTATGACAGGTCTATATCTATATAGCTTTACTACAGGTATATATCTATATAGCTTTACTACAGAGTTTTGCTGCAGGTCTATATCTATACAGCTTTATTACATGTCTATATCTATACAGCTTAGCAGCAGCTTTGTATAGCCTGGCTGCAGTTCCACAACAATATGTCAGTTTCACAGTCAAAAACTTTTGTTGTTATTTGTTCAGAATCTGTCATATGATAATTTCAATATGGTGAATGATATTGTTGAAGACACCAGGCATTCACCAAGTACATATAGAACCCCTAGACCAATGAAATCAAACATCCCTCCAGAGTGGCAACAACATACCAAAACTGGAATAAAAACAAAGAAGTGGGATCAGAAAGATTTGCTGGACACTCAAGCCGATAGATTTACTGAACCAGAAAAACCATACACCCCAAGAACTCTGAAGAGAGAAGCACAATCGAAGATAGCCCAATCCAAAAATTATAACCCACCCAAAAGGAAAAGTGAAAAAAGTGATTCCAAAGGAAAAGATTTGTTATCTACACGGAATACTTATGCTGATTACAATGGGGAGATGGAAAGGTAACAATACATCTTATTTTCATATCCTTCTACTTGGCCAGAATTTATCACTAAAGACTACAATACCCCTCAAAAAATACTGAGCACAAAGATGTTGGCTG